GTGGAACATCATTCAGTTTTTAAAATGAAACTCTCCCATCTTCAGGAGTGTGAATGGAGACGGTAAGTGAAATAAGGCAGACACAGAGGGACAAATACCGTGCACTCCTCCACCCGGAAACTAAAGGTTAACTTCTCAGTGGTGGAGAACACAATAGTAGATTCTGGAGCTTGGGAAGGGTGTGGAGAGACCAGCTAAAAGTACAGGAGTGCAGTGGGGTGGAGAACGGTGTCTAATGTTCCACAGCACAGTAGAGGCACGCGGCTGATGAAAACTAATGGAATATTTCAAGTAGTAACTAAATTTTCCTCACAATGAAGTGATAAATGTTTGAGGTAAGTGACACACCAATTGTACTAAACATGGTTACACATGTACTTACATGTTATATTGTAATCTAAATGTCACATTGTACCCAAAGCATCACATTGATCCCCAAATATATACAATTCCTGTGTCTATTGAAATATTGTGAAGTAGGGCTGGGGAGATGGACGTGTGTGTGAACTGCTTGCTGTGCGAGCATGAGGACCATAGATGCACACAAGCCTGGGTGTGGATGTGTGCATCTATGATCCCAGCAAGGTGGGGAAGCTGTAAATACAGATGGTTATGAGCCACCAGGCCTGGGTACTGGGAACAGAACTCCAGTCCTCTGCAACAGCAGCAAGCACTCTTAACTGCTGGGACATCATTTCAGTGACCATCCCCACCCCTACCCCTAAATGCTTCTGACATTTCAGTGTCCCCCAGCCCTGTGTTGCCACAGATGCTGGAGGCACAGGGCTGGCTATTCTGCCCCACTCAGAAGGGATGCTGGAGGCACATGGCTGGTATGCCCCATTCAGAAGCATGCTCCTTACTAGGGAGGCATGGGTAAGGCAGTCATGTAAGCTGGAGTTTCCTAGAAAAGCTACTACTGCACTACAGATCAGAAGGGCCACTGACTAGTCCACCAGATCTTGCTGATGGTTGAGTTAGAAAGCTGCAGACACAGATAGAAAATTATCTCGGGCTATCTCTACTCCCCTTTAGTCACTGTCACCAACAGGATCTGACCTAACACCCTTTGAGGATCAGGTGAAACCTTTGGAATAAGTTAAGTGACGAGCAGACCCCTGGTGTCCACCAGGCCAGAAGCTAAGAATGACATCAAATAGAGCATGACATCACCAGCCTGCCTGGTGCCCCCCAACAATATATTTACTAGATGTCTCTATATTTAGCTACCTTTTGGACTATAACTATAAAAGGTTGATGTAACCATTTCCACTGTGGAACACATTCTCCAGGCTGACCTGAATCTGTGTTCCCAGACCACACCCACTCCTAATTGCCTCAGAACAAACAGTCTCATTCCCTTTGGAGCAAGAGATGCTGTGTTAGGTAGTTTGTGGTTTGTTTATTTTGTTTTGTGGGGTTCTTTTGTCAACTTAACACATGCAAGAGGCATCTGGGAAGAAGGGACTTGACTGGCCTGTGGGTACGTATTGATTAATTATTAATGTGGAGGGCCCAGCCTATGGTGGGCAATGCCACATCTGGTGGATATATTTATATATATATATATATATATATATATATATATA